CAATGTTATATTCAAAGTATATCAATAAGAACTGACAGTCACTTTCACTATTCATACAACCCTCACTCACATCACAACGAGCACGGCATTGCTGCCGTGATTGTAGGGAGTATTCACTACAAACCTTGCCCGCGTCCCTCCCCTACCATTTCTACATTACTACTTATACTCCCACTACCATTATTAAGAATAAGGTTATCACTACAGCGGTTCCAGATATGCTCTTCCCTGTCTCTTCAATGCGCTGCCCTTCCTCTGCCTTGCCGCCAGCCTTCGGCCCCCTCCCCTGCACTTATGGAGGAGTTGCGGTTCACCCGTTCTTTCATGCTTTCATTTATGGTTTACATTAACCTGCCTTCACCAGTGGAGGCTACACGAACGCGGCGCTGCAACTGTCGCTTCCGCTTCCGCCGCAGCATGATCTGCAGCACCCGCCGCAACAACGGCAGTTGGAAGAGTCCCCCGGCAGGCTGCTGATTGGGCGTCCTCGGGCTATATGTATCTTCCATTATTTATCGATTTCTGGGACACTGCGCAGGTATTTCCGCGCAGGAGCAGCACACGCAAGAGAAGGGACAGCGGGATGCACAGCAGCACCAAGCTCGACAGCATCATCGGCAACTGCAACCGATGGCCCAGACATGCTATCTTGCTTTCAATAGGCAGATCTTGTCTGCGTACAGTTGGCACAGGAGCCTTTACTTGGGGTTGGAAGGTTGCATGTACGCAAATGCAAACGTTCTATATGTGCATTCAGAGGCAAAACACGCAGCAAAGGAAGCTTCGTTGAAGGTTCCTTGTGTGCAGACGCGAGGCTGGCTTGCTTTACCAGCCGCAGCGAGGTGCGCTGCAACCCCATATCAGGTTTCCTTCTCCCTGCAACACTCAGGCCGTGCTCTCAATGCCCAGGACGCCTGGGGACAGGGTAAGGAGGTCTGCTGCTTTTGCAAAACTTCTACGTTACCTACACCTTAATCAAGGACAGAAGCGAGCTGCAAAGGCCAGAGAGCAAGCGTTATATCTGACGCCCAGGGCGCCAGGGAGACAGGGATGAAGGTTAGTTGCTTTGGGGGAAGCTCTGACATCAACTCGTCGGCTTCACTGCAGCTTGCTTCTGTCCTTCAATAAGGCAGGAAAGCACGCTCGAATAAGGCTGATGGCACCGATTACACTGCTACCCCCGATTATTAGCGCAGACGCCTATCTTTGGCGGGCGTGCCTCGAGAAAATGCTTTAGCAATGTTGTAAGAGCTAAACTACCCTCACACATGAGTGGTCATAAGAGCTAAACTACCCTCACACATGAGTGGTCATAAGAGCTAAACTACCCTCACACATGAATGGTCATAAGAGCTAAACTACCCTCACACATGAATGGTCATAAGAGCTAAACTACCCTCAAACATGAATTGTCACAAGTTTGGGTAGAAGACCGATATAATCAGCGGCACTCAGCACCGGCTAAGCGCATGTGAAAATGTGTTGTGCTAAATGGAAGCAAAATAAATTCTGCTGCAGCAATTGAACTAATTCGACCTCCTAAAGTCGGATATTCATGCTTCAATGTGCTTCCAGTCAGAAACAACTCCCCTGGACCCCCGAAGTCAAGGAAGGCGCCGACCTGTACGCGGCGAGCATTCTCACGGCCTATGGGTTCCAAGCCGTTGAGTTTTGAAACAAATTCTTCCCGTAAACGCGTCACCTTGACAGAGGGAAGCATTTTCAGTAGGCGCGCAGCCATACCATACCGACTCGCATGCTCAGTGGCTACAGCTGCCTGATGAGCAGTGCAGTGGGCGACTTGAGTACCACTGTAAGCTCCGAGACCGAGGACGGGGCTTCCCATACATTTACTTCCTNGCAGTGGGCGACTTGAGTACCACTGTAAGCTCCGAGACCGAGGACGGGGCTTCCCATACATTTACTTCCTACCCATCCCATAAATTATTTTGAAAAGGCCCCAAGGTTACGAATAACCAGAAGTTCAGGTTACCGTCGTCGTGTTCAGCGGCGCCGTGCACCATCGGACTACTGCCGCCGACCAGCGGGTAGTTTTACGGTGGTCCAAATAAGCCATCCTCCCCCAGGGAGCATATCCGGATGTGAATGTAAGACTTAATCAAGGGACTAGTTTAAAATACGATTACCGTCCTCCGCGGGCAGTTTTCTTATGATGCGGAAACGCTGGCCTCGCACATGCACGTCGTTTGACCACATGATGGTTTCCGAGAATTTTTAAGGAGGAGGAACAAAAATAGGAGCCAGATTGTGGCTGTTTGTCTTTATGCTTTAGAGATCTTCCTGTTTAATGCAAGCAACGAAGGATGAATTTTGCGGCGACACTCGCTCGGGGTCTTTTTTCTGGCCCCGTCGGTGAAGGCCGGCTGCCTTTCGCGCCAGCACACCCCGCTAATATGGGGGAGGACTATGGCTGCACTCAGGGAAACAACGAGTTGCAGCAGGAAAAGGAGCTGCCCGTCTCGGAAGCAGAGGAAATGCTGGTAATAGGCGAGGCAGTACCTGAGGGGGAGCATCTGCGCACTCTTCGAGTGTACAGCCGGTGCTCGTCACAAGCAACCGTAGCAGCAACATCAGGAGCAAGGCCTTCAGAAGCAGGCTCGACTGATGCAGGGGTCCCTGCAAATGAGGGCGAGGCGGAATCAGAGGGGAGTTCCCGAGGCTGTCGCGATGTTCACGTGCTGCGGGTATTCCGCGAACCCGATGTTATGATAGCCCCGAATCTGATTACAAAAGAGCAGTGCGCCCACCTGCTGAAACTAGCGGACGGGAAGTGGACTCGCAGCAAAACAAGCGTCGGGACGACTTCCGCACCCCAGGTATAGACAACTACTACCAGCTACTACTGCTGTGGACAGTGAAGTGCTGCCAGGGTTCACTCGCATTCCTAACTATCTGAATTGTATAGATTCTGCTTTGCACTTGGAGCACTTAGAGAGACGACCTGCTTGCTTGCTTAGAGGAGGATGCCTGTGTGGCGTCACTCGGTTGCCTGTGTGGCTTCACTCCACGTGGTTTCTTCTTGCGATATTTTTCCTCGTGTGTGCTCCTTTTGGAGGCGGGGGGGGCAATCGTTTTGTAGCCCCTAGGAGTTGTTTTATTTACTTCATGCTGGGAATACAGCTGTGCAGAGCATGCGTGTTGTTGCGTGCGTCTTCTGGCGTTCTTGTAGACAGCATACAGGACGACTGAAAGCCGGACACGGACGTCGTATTCAGTGATGCTTGAGGAGGCACAGACACCCGGTGTGGTGTCTGTAGAGCTGTTGGCTTGTGCCTTAGCGCAGATGCCAGTACAGCACCTCGAATCTCTCGTGCTTGTGAGATATGCCGAAGGGGAGTACTTCGCAGAACACCATGACGGAGGCTTCAGGCCCAAGACAGTTCTCCTTTATCTTAACGGTGAATCTTCCTGCTAGCCAGTAGCCGCTGCATGCGCTGTGTTTCTTGATCAC